GTGCAACTTCCTGCGCGGGTCGCAGAATCACGTTGCACGGCAGTTTCACTTAAACTTCCAGGACACCGTCCCTTCGCATTAGCTTCGATCTACCTGGCCGACGGGGTGGGCCCCAACAAATACAACTTCGAGCTTCTTGCTGGGGTTGTAATGATTCAGGATGCTGAACGACAGCCGCTCATCATTGCTGGGGATTTCAACGCCTCGACCACAAAGATCGTGGAGTCGAACTACCCGTTGAGAGCGGGCCTCAAGATTCTGGCCCCAGCTACCCCTACGTGTAAGACAAAGAAATCTGCTAGCACCATAAATTTCGCCCTAGCCTCATCGCGCTTCGACCAGGGCCTCTTGGGTGCCACCGTCCTGGAGGACTACCCGCTGAGCCCCCACAGGCCCGTTCTGTTTCAGCTCAGGTGCGGGAAGCCCTTTATGGTGCCCGTCTTGGACAAGCCCCAACCGTTCTCTACTACCAGGCCTTCTGTGAACACAAACGTTGTACCTTCTCGGGACAAAACCGAAGCTGCTCTGGGCTTCCTGGACCAGGTCATCGTCCAGGAGACCGACATAGAGGCCCGCTTGCTGGCCCTGAACTCCACGTGCCGGCAATTCGCCAGTGGCATGGCGAAGTCGATCAGCATCCGCACGGGCGCGCCGATCAAGTCGCCCACCATGCCGCGAGTAGGACTACCTAAGATCCGTTGGGTACCAGGAGCCGCTCGGGAAGTGGAACCCAGGGCCAGTTGGAGGAGTTTGTCGACCCCGATCAGATGGTCGAAAAACAACATGATGGATGTCATCCGCAAGGTTCATTCCAGGGAGGAGTTTTATCTACCGGAGATTCTGGTCAGCATCCAGTCACCACCTCCAGAGCTCGAAGGCACCGAGGAGTTTGCCCGTCTGCTTGCCAGTGTAGGACTGCTCTAGGCGCCGCCGCTCAAGATCAGGACAACGGGGTGCTGGGCCCCAAGCTTGTCTTGGAGGTTTTCGAAGAGCTCGACGAATCAGTCGACCGAGCGCTGCAAGCTGAGGAGGCCAGGGACCGTCAAAGTGAAACCACCGCCTGGCACAACGAGGCCCAGGAGGCCATGTCCAAAGGGGTTGGGTGGGCTCACCGCTGAACCTCAAAGCTCACCAGCTGGCAGCCTCAAAAAGCATGGCGCCCAGATCTGCAAACCTTTTCAGGAAGGCCGTTTGAGCTGCTCCAGTCGGACCCCCCCCGCTTGGCAGGACTTCGGAAGGTCAAGCCGCAGGAGCAGAATTTAACTCGCCGTCGACCGAGCGCGACCGCTTGGAGCCCATCACGCCTGGCCAGATCCGAGCGGCAGCCAACAGATTTCCGAAATCAACCAGTCAGGCCTGGGACGGATTTCACCCTCGTCATTTTGCTTTACTGAGTTACCGTGAGTTGGAGCAGGTTTGTCAGCTGTTGGCGGCCATTGAAGAGATTGGAGTATTTCCAACCGGTATCCGCAGTATTATCATTGCCCTGATCGAGAAGCACAAAGCCGACCAATCTGAGGGCCCATCCTACCGTGGCATCGGTCTCCTTCCCGCTCTCTGGAGGGTCTGGTCCAAGATCCGACAGGTGGAAGCTCGTCGTTGGGAATGGGCCAGCAAGAGGCCCTATCTGGCCCATCAGTCTGGTCGAGGCGTGCTAGAAACTGTTGATGCACAGGCCCTCAAGGCTGAGCTAGCTGGTTACCAGGCTGCTCATACTGGTGGCATTCTTTGGGATCTCTCTAGCTATTATGAAAATGTGAACCGCGACAAGTGGAAGTCTCGGGCTATATCTTCTGGATTTTCGGAGACGTTAGTTTGTCTTATGATGAACCAATGGGGGCCCGAGGGTAGTTGCAACGAGGACCTTGGCTACTTACGCTGGTCGTGCCACTAAAGGTTTCCCCGCGGGATGCTCGCTCGCCACCTACAACGTGCGCATGTACACAGTGCCCCCCATGGACTCCTGGGCCCCGAAGTTCCCCACAGTGGACCCCTCCACATTCATAGATGACTTCATGTTGGCCAGCAGCAACACTAGTGCGAGGCCCCTGGTGTCGGACTTGGCGCAGGCCGCCGACAGCATGCTAGATTCAATCGAGGAGGACCTCGATTGCTCGGTCGCGCTGCACAAGGCGGCGGCGCTGGGCTCGTCAGCAGAGGTGCAACAGAGACTGGCGAAGGCCCTAGGCAAGTACAGTGGACCCGATGGCGTCCGCCAAGCACAGTCTGCGCCAAAGCTCGAAGTAGATTTCACCACGGGGAACAGGCTTAGCCAAAAAACACGCAAGACCCTTGGAAAGCGATCGACACAAATGAGGCGTCGTCTCCACAGTTTGGCGCAGATTAGGAGAGCAGGTGCAAATGTGCGTAAGATTTACCAAACAGGGCTGGAGGCGGCCGCCTACTACTGAGCAGAGGTGGTCGGTCTCACCAATCCCGAGGTGCATGAGGCCCAATCCCTGTACCTCAAGATCGTAGGGCCCCGATGCGCTACCAGATCCAGGTCTTTGGCGCTGTCGATTCTCGGGGATCCGGCCTGGAGTGCCGCTCTGGGGCCGGCCTGCTATTGGGCCAATCTGATCTGGAGGGTAGCTCATCTACCTGGGACTGCCAGCGCTGCGCTTCCTGAACCTCGCACTCAGGCTCTGGAGGTCATCAGCAACCCCCCGACGAAGTGGCTCCAGATTAGGAGGGCCCCTCGGGGCCACGATGCTCAGCTTGGGGCGTCTTGGATGGACTATGCCCGACCCGTTCGTGTTCCAGGATGCCAGAGGGCAGGACTGCCCACTCATCACGACCTCCCCAGCCTTAATCAAGAAGCTCTTTCAATCCCAGTGGCAGCAGCAGCTCGATTTGAAGGCCAGCGCGAAGCTAGGTCCCGACGAGCCGCTGGACCCGTCGCTCATGCAGCACGCGCTGCAAGATGACAGTATCCAAGGGCACGAGCGCAAGACTTCGCTGTCCTACGGATGCCAGGGTATTTGGACAAAAAGTAAGATAGCCGAGGCAGGCTACGAAGAAGAAGAAGTCAGTGGCGAATTGTGCCAAGGCCCCGAGGACTCCCTCCCCCACAGGCTCTTCGAGTGCCCGCAGACCAGCAACTTGAGAGAGGAGATGTTGATGGAGGGGGGCGCGGAGGAGCTCAGGGATCAGAGGAGAGGTTTCCCGTGCGTCTTGGGGTTCCAGCTTCGACCTGAACCTATTGCTCTGAGGCCCCCAGGATTAGGACTAGACCAAGCAGAGCATTGGTCTCGTGATGGGCAGCCCAAGGAGGTTGCCATGCAAGGTGAAGTTTTCCACGACGGCAGTGTTTTAAAACCTGGTCCCGCGGTATTCGACGCCCCTGCCTGGTCCGTGGTTACAATCGACGAGGAGGGCGACCTAGTTGCCTGCCTCTCGGGGCCCGCGGGGGCCAGTCTTCCCCCCGCATCGCCCGCTGCCGAGCATTTAGGATTTGCGGCTGCCGTCTCCTGCCCAAGAGTCACTAAAACGTGGACTGGCTTTAAAGGCGTCCTCTCGGTATCACCAGAGCCCCGAGGTTAGTAGGGAAGAAATGCATGCAGGAGTGTCTGTCTTGGCCAGGGCCCAGGACAGTTTCAGTTCCCTCGATATAGCCAAAAGCCCACCAGGATCTCTCGACCCTGGATGCTGGCTCGAGGGCATGGTTTGTAGCCAAAGGAAATGACTGGGCGGATCGGGCTGCCAAACTAGCTGCTGCCCAGATCCCCGCCCCGTCCCAGGTGGATATGAAGTATTATAAAGAAGCCCGCAGTAGAGTGCAGAGATTTTTGAAGCACGCAGCGGAGGCGCTCTCCTTGCGGCAGGCCCTCGCCCCAAAGACGGGGAAGAAGGCCTAAGAGAAGCCTCCCCAGAGCCTCACCCCCCCCTGTTGGAGCCGCGGGTGCGGTCAAAGACTGGACCCCCCCCCCCCCCAGCCCCCTGAGGGTCTTCCTCGGCGGGCCCGTGCGGCCCGCCGTAACCCTCAGGTTTTGGCTCGCCACCAGTGGGGCTGGATCAGCAACCACTGGCTGTGTCTAGCGTGTCACACTCGTGCCCGCGCCGGCAGCACCCGCCAAGCCCGTTCGCGAGAAGCGTGCCCTGGCAATTCTGCAGCGCTGCCCCAGTTAATTAGAGAGCCCAGGAAGCACCTCGGTGTCGAGTCCTTTTTCATTATTTGCAAGAGGTGCGGCCGTTATTCGGAGAGCAACCTCAAAGGACTCAAAGGTGAATGCAGTCAACGCTTCAGAAGCAAGTTCTCTGAAGGTGCGTGGTCTCGGGTGTCAGGCGGCCGTCATCCGAAGGACAGTATGAAGGCCCGTCCCAGACTTTCCCAGCCCTTCCCTGCAGCCCAGCTCCTCAAGGAAGGGGCGGCGACGTAGGGTCAAAGGAGGGCGTAAGGGGAGAACGGATGTAATCCCAAGGTTTCGGTTAGGGTCGGGTCGGCCTAACCCTAGCCTTCCTCATCAGCATGCGATGGTCCTCCTCCTCCTCCTCCTCCTCCTCCTCCTCCTCCTCCTCCTCCTCCTCCTCCTCCCACTCCTCCCACTCCTCCCACTCCTCCTCCTCCTCCTCCTCCTCCTCCTCCTCCTCCTCCTCCTCCTCCTCTCCTCCCACTCCCTCCGCCTCCTCCTCCTCCTCCTCCTCCTCCTCGTCCTCCTCCTCGTCCTCCTCCTCCTCCTCCTCCTCCTCCTCCGCCTCCGCCTCCGCCTCCGCCTCCGCCTCCGCCTCCTCCTTTCTCCTCCTCCTCCCCCTGCTCCCCCTGCTGCTCCTCGTTCTCCTCGTTCTCCTCGTTCTCCTCGTTCTCGTTCTCCTCGTTCTGCTCGTTCTCCTCGTTCTCCTCCTCCGCCTCCTCCTCCTCCTCCTCCTCCTCCTCCTCCTCCTCCTCCTTTCCCCAAAACCTCTGGGCGAGACTCCCGCCGACGAGACGCAAGGCCGTCCTGCCGCAGGCCCGTCGCTGCGTCCGCGGCGGCGTTTTTTTGTTGTTATTCCCCAGGTCCTGCCTAGCGCGGAGAGCAGGGTGGTCTGGGCCTGCAGCACGTTCATGAGCAGCTCGGTCGTGGCGGCGTCCTGCGGCCCAGGGGGAGGAGGAGGAGGAGGAGGAGGAGGAGGAGGAGGAGGAGGAGGAGGAGGAGAAGGAGCAGGAGGAGGAGGAGGAGGAGGAGGAGGAGGAGGAGAAGGAGCAGGAGGAGGAGGAGGAGGAGGAGGAGGAGGAGGAGGAAGAGGAGGAGGAGGGAGAAGTCAGGGAGAGGGGACAGCAGAGGGAAGGATCAGGAGGAGGGAGCAGGGGCATCAAGGGAGAATGAGGAGGGGAGGAAAGTGAGCAGTGAGGGGAACAGGCTCCTTGCAACAGTACGGTGGAAGATCAGAAGGAGGAGGAGGGGGAGGAGGAGGAGAACGCAAGACGCATGACGCGCAAGCCTGCTGGCCGGCCTGCCGGCAGGCCCCTTAGGAGCGGCGCGGGATGGCCGGAGCCTTCTCGTATATCGGCGAACTGCGAGAAGCCCGCCTCCAAACCCATCCCATAGATCATTGCTTGTCGCAGAGAGCAGAAAAAAAACCTCATAATCAGCACCCCGACAAGGCAGGCGTTCAGCAAACGCACGCCAGGAGGAAATCGAGCAGGGCTGCAGTAAACGCCGAGCATGGAGGGCGGGGTGGTTTTGTGAGGAGGAGGAGGAGGAGGAGGAGGAGGAGGAGGAGGAGGAGGAGGAGGAGGAGGCGGAGGCGGAGGCGGAGGCGGAGGAGGAGGAGAGGGAGAAGGAGGAAGAGAAGGGAGAGGAAAAAGAAGAGGTCGCTCCGCCGTTTCCGCTTTCCCGCCGTGCCGGCGGCGTGCTGCCCCAGGGCCGATGTGCACATCGATGTCCCCGCGGGGCGGGGCCCCTGTGCGCGCTTTCGCGCGCCCCAACCGGATGCCTCTAGACCGAAGCGGAGAAAAGACATCGCGGCGAGAACGGCCGCTCTGGAGGGGGGAGGCTCCTCCTCCTCCTCCTCGCCACCTCCTCCTCCTCCTCCTCCTCCTCCTCCTCCTCCTCCTGGGGGGAGGCGGGGGGGGGTCACAGCGCAACGCCCCATACCCCCGACGTATGGCTCCTGCACCACAGCGCCTGTGCGCACCACACCATGCACCACAGTGCGCATCACAGCGTGCAGCGCCGCAGCCGCGTGCACCACAGTGCCTGGGTGCATCGCAATGCCTGCGTGCACCCCATTTCGTGCACCACAGCGCCTGCGTGCACCCACCACAGCAGCCGCGTTCACCAGAGAGCCTGCGTACAGCTCAATACCTGCGTGCACCACAGCGCTTGTGACCACCACGATGCTAACTTTGATTTCATTTCTGTTGTAGACTTGTGCTCTGGCTGTGGTGCATGTGAGCACGCACGCTACTGGTGAACAACTGTGAGCGCACCACAATCTTCTGTCGGCATCTCAGTAGCCTGCGAGCACCGCGGCGCGCCTGTGAGCAACCCAGTCACTTGCGACGACCGCTCGGCGACTACGACAAAGGCCACGATGACTACAACGCCGATCCCGACGACCACACGACGACGACTACGATGACAACCGCAACGACGACCACGACGATAAGGACGACGATCGCGACGATCACGAAGACTATGACGGCTACGACAGTCACGACGACGATCACAACGACGGCCACACGCCGACTACGACGACTATCACTACGACCAAAACGAATACGACTACCACGGCGACTACGACGACGACGGTTGCGACAGTCACAACACATATCACGACGACCACAAGACGACAACAACGACGATTATGACGACTACGCCCACACCGTCCCACTCCACAATCCCTCCTCCTCCTCCTGCTGCTCCTCCTCCTCCTCCTCGTCCTGATACCACTACTACTGCTACTGCCGTTGCCGCGAACTATTTTTCCACCCCTGCCACTACTACAGCTGTTGATAACCTGCCAAAACCCGAATACTGTGTGAAGTCCGCGCGCGAAACAATACGCATGACCATGCAAATGCAGCAAAAGCCTGCGAGGGCAGCACTATGTCTGCGAGCACGGACAATGAGCCTGTGAACGCAGCACCAGCCCGTGAACACCACACTTGCCTGCGAGCACCAGCAGCCTGCGAGCACCACGGTAGCAAACAGCCAGCGGGCGCCACGGTGACCGGCGAGGAAACGCAGGCGCTGCCACCCTGCTGCGAGACTGTGCTGCACGCGTGCACTGCGGCAGTGCCGGAGGCGCACTAAAGGGGGGTGGCCTTCCGTTGTGGGGGGGAGGGGCATAACGCGCGCTATGGCCAAGAGGGTCAAAAGAAAACCGCCTGACTCATCGCATCGGCAATTTCTGCCGATACGATGAGTGAGGCAGTCTCCTTTCCATCCTTGCCAGCCTCCCTCGATGTGAACAACAAAAATCAAGTAGCATATTACTAGATTTGCCAAGTCGTATGCAATTCAATCTGGTAGTCGCTGAGCCATATGACGAAACCGACTAGCAGGCCGCAAGGCATCGAAGGCGGCGTCGATCGGCGCCCGCTCCCCGCCGCGGGCCACCCGCCCTGCGCACGCCGCTCGCGCTAGCGCCCGCGCGCGCGCGCCTTTGCGCGCCCCCCGGTCGCGTGCGGCTGCGCGCCGCCGCTGCGCGCCCCCCGCCGCGCGCCGCCGCGCCGAGCCCGCCCTGCGAGGTGGCCGCCGCGGCGCCTGGTGCGCGCGGACCGCGCGCCTCGCGACGAGCCGATACGGCAGGTGGGCGGCGGCGAGCGGCGAGGGGGCAGCCGGGCGACGGGCGGCGGCGGCCGCCGCCACAGCAGGGGACCCACATCTACGGCGCCGGGCCCGAATAGTTGAAGGGGCGACACCCTCTTCGGGCACAAGGCCCTTTTCGAAGGGCCCTGTTCGGCAGCCCTCGCCGCCGCCCCGTGCATCGCCTCTCCACGACGCGATGTTCTGAAGCCGCGCGTTCTGCTCCGATTCCGGCCTCTGCGGGCCCCAAATGTCCGACGACATGATCCTTTCCATCCCGGCGCTCTGCCCCGATGTCGGCCCCCAGGGGCCATGCTCGGGCCCCCTGCTGAAGGCCATCAAACACGGCCCCGGGACGAACCCCTACCCCTGGGGGACTGGTCGGGCCCTCTGGGGCCCCAGGTTGACACTGTTGACACCCAGACTGTTCCGTCGGCGGCGGGGCAGAGGCAGTCCGCACCAGCGTGGGGCAAATGGGGGCAACCGATAAGCAAATTGTCCGGCGCGCAACAGGGAGAGGCGAAGACGAGGGCGGCCGCGCGAGGGGAGGAAGAGGAGGGCGCTCAGACGTGGAAGAGTTCCGCGATGAGCGGGCCAAAGCGGCCAGCCATGGCAGCGGGGACCGCGGCAGCAGCCAGGGCCGGGGCCAGGGCGCACCCGCGGGCGCTGCCAGGGCGCAGTGGCGAGTTGACACCCAAACGCGCGACGTAAGTCCCGACCCTGGCCCCGAGACCGGCGCTCGTCCTGAGCCGTCTTGTGGGCGGCCCCGGGGCCCAGCAGTGAGGTTTTTTTTTTTTTTTTTTTTTTTTTTTTTTTTTTTTTTTTTTTTTTCTTTTTTTTCCAGCTATTGGCTCTACCTGTGATTAATTCTGCTCTGTAACTCTGTCGGTCTCTCTTGACCGCACAGCTGGTACTTCACATTTCTGAAGCCTGCTCAGGGCCCGTTTCCCGTGTGCTGTCGGTCGGCCCTGGCAAGGAAGAATGAGGTTCCTGGCCCCTTTCTGGGCATAGAACCCGCATTTCAAACAAATCAAAGTCCCATACAGCTGGTGGACTCCGATTGCGTGTGAAACATGCAGCTCGCGGCCGTTGAAGACCTGTCTTCCTGCTGGTGAGAGCACCACGTCTCTCATTAAACTCTTCACACAGGGAGTGTCGAGGAAACGATTCAACTCCCTCCTCGGCGCGGATCCTCCACACTCCCTGCATCTAACCCTGGAGCCTAAAATATGTGCACCATTGTGCTCTGTGATCTTGATACTGCGTGCTTCTCTCTCTCTCTCTCTCTCTCTCTTCTCTCAGACATGGCTCTACTACTTGGCTGATGTCTGGGCACCGTCTCAATAACATTCTCAAGGACCTTGGCCAAATGTTTCCTGGCCGAAAAACCTACAGCTGTTGCCACTTCCACCCTGCATCTGTCCGCAAAAGGGACTCTGAACTCCTCAGCTAGCCTGCTTGCTGCGGTGTCCGCGATAGCGTTGACAAAGAGGGTGGCTGGATCAACTCCCTGCTCGATCGCCTCTTCTGCATTCAGGTGGCTCTCCACCTTCAACACACGCAATCCTTTGCACGGGTGCCTCGCTAGTGTCTCTCCAAGACGCCGCCAGACATCCACATGCGTGTCAGGAAACTTGCCTACTTTTAGCTTCTCGACTCCCCGCATGACATACTCAGAGTCCGTCACATATACTGCGTGTGCCAGCGGGAGGACTACTGCTGCAAACTCTAGCAACGCCGTGGCTTCACCACGGTTGACTGTCTGAAAAAAGCCTGGCATATTCCCTCCCTGCAAGTGTCCCAACCTCAGCTCACCCACATCGTAACTCCCGTCCTCACGGAATCCGCCTAGGGTAGCAAAGGCCCAGGCCACTCGGCGCAGCTTGGGATCCTGGTCTTTTCCCCCGCTGGCGTCTCCTCCTCCAAAAATGACGCCTGGATCACCGAAAACCTGGTGGCTCGACCTACCAAAAAACATAGCTGATGTCTTCGTCTGTCGGATCTGAGACGCTAGTCCACGTCGATGGCACCATACCTCGAATCCACATGCTGGGCATACTATCCGACTCTATTCGTGCTTTAGCAATTATGCCGCTGGAAATCGTCTGAAACTCCTGATTGGCTGGGCACTCCCAGCAACGATGCTTGTCTGTTTCTGGAGCCTGTCCACAGCGTGGGCACACGGGGTCAGGCTCCAGGCCGTACTCAAAAAGTCTCTGCCTACACCACGTCGCTCCTGTCATGACGCACTGCAAAAGGCCCTTCCACTTAAAATCACTACGCTTTAAAGCCATGCGGCACTGTCGACGGGGGCCCTTCAAGTCTGGCACAAGTTGCAGCCCTTCTCCCATCCAGGAGTTCTTGGCCGCCTTCGCCCAGAGCCTCCTACCGACACTGTCCGCTATGCACGCAAAAAGAATGTGTGACTTGTCGAGAGGGCCTCTCCCGATCATCTCCTCTGGGGCCTCGAAGGTCTCTCCGATGTCACTGTGCCACCTCCAAGGCCCCTCTGGATTCCAACCTAGATCGAGCATGGTGCAGATCGTGGCTGCCATGGGTGAGCACACTCGCCTCCAGCGCTGCCTGGGGGCCTTGCTACTTAAATTGGCTAGCACTCTCGCCCAGCCTCTCCGCACACGCTCCACATTCACCCTTCCATCGCCTAGGATGGAGAACCACATCTTGACTACATCAAAAACTGCTGTGTATGCTGGGTCCTGCGTACCGTATTCTAGCGCTAGGAGGGTCGTCAAGCAACGGCCGTGTTTTTTTCCTGCTCGACAGGTCGGCCATCGCTCGCCTCCAGCGCTGCACTATGCTGGGAGCTGTCCCGTATACCTGATCCGAGTAACGCGACTGAGCGAAAGCCGAAACCGAAATCATTCTCTTGGACAGCTCCCTGTGTTTACGTGCTCCTTTTGCAAACCTCGAGAGTTTGCGGATCTTAAAACTTGCTGCTACTCGTCTAGCTGCCTGCTTGGGTCTACGTTTTGCTATCCTGCCTCGGTCTAGTCCTAAATCTGGCGCATTCGATTTCACTTGGATACTGATGTTGGCTGCTGCAAAGCGCTGGGCCAGTTCACTAGCCACCTGGGGACACAATGAGATGACGCACGATTTATCTGCCGTCGCCAGACTGACTGCCTGCAAGCCCTTCACTAGCTGCTGACCTGCCTTGAAAAGTACATCTACAAGCCTCTGCCTCGGCGCCTCGCAACGCTGAACGATGTCGTCCACCCAGGTGTGGAGGCTCGGAGTTGGAGGAGGGCATCTGGCCACTTCCTCGCAAATGAAATAGAGTGCACACCTGCCTAGGTCTACAGCTCCTGTCGAGCCTGGGATGAGAGACAGACTGGGTTGAATCGCTTCTGAAAAAAACATCATTCTTCCCTCAAAAACCTGGGCGACATGTGCATCTGAAGTTCGAGCGCTAAGTAAATTGCTGGGAGACCTAAAGCAAGCGCCTTGGAGAGCACAAGCTCCCACGACAAGGAATCGTAGAAGCCTTGTGCGTCCCACATCAGGCTTGCGTGCACTAAATCTGGTATGACCGACTGTTCTGCAAGCTCGTCCTGAAAAGCTCTCCACACAGCTACCCTGGGCGCCGATGACCCAGCGACAGCTGTGTCCCAATGTCCAGCACGCTTTTTGCACCAGTCCGCCCTCTCAAAATGTCTGAGCCTGCCCCACAGGCGCGGGAGCCACGGCAGCAAGCCTATTGCTCTGTCGGCCTCACGTGTCTTGACTTGCAACATGACCAGGACCGTCATGAGCTGCCATGGCCAGCATGCTCTCGCCTCAATGGCGTTATAAAGATCTGTTAATTGCTGAATTGCGGCTGGCGGAAGGAAGGCAACATCTTTTTTTTGTTGCACGGATCAATCCCGTTGGCTCGACTTGGCACTCTGGCGATAACTTCCTGGACGTGCTCTGGTTCAAGTGGCGGGAGTGGGTTCTGGATTGCCTGCCTCTGCGCTTCTCGCCAAAGAAGAACAGCCTCTGAGGTGCACTTGCGCCCAGCCCCCCACTTGGCGCCCCGCGCCCCTTCCTTGAGTCCTATTCGGCTGATGGCGTCTGGCGCAGAGGCGGCTCCCGAACGAACCTCTCCTACAACAACCTTCTTTGGCTTGATCATATTGCACAGACCCTTGCCTCCAGCAAGAGCCTGTTTCCGCGCCCATTCTTTAAAGCTCTGCTGATTCATGTACTGCAGCGCTCTGTGGGCACGTGTTGCGTTATGGCTTGCCTTAAAATTAAACTCTGCTATTTCTCCATATGAGGCCTTGTCCAAGTGCCCCAGCCCTTCCTTCCAGATACCCCAGAGGCGAGTCGAGAGAGGCATGAGGGACGGGGTAGGAAGTTGGCTGGCTAGCTCTCGGACTCTGGCCAAAAGAGATTCAAACCTAGGACCTTGTTTCCGGTAGGCAACAGACTATTTCTTCCAAGATGAAGGCGACTGTGGCCCACCAATGGGCAACTGGATCTGATGCAGAGATGAACGTTGCTCCTTGCGCCTCGGGTTTGAGAACTAGTGCTCGCGCCCTGCCCCGCCCGCGGTAGTCGTTCCGCTTGTGCGGTGTCACGGCGTGGGTGAGGATGAAAAACTCCTCCATGCGCGAGACCCATCTGGCATACTCCTCACCTACCGTGAGGGAAGCCTTTCGATCTAACTGGAATGATAACGACTGCCCGATGTACTCTGGAGGCTGAAGATTATTCGTGGCATGGGAACCTAGCTGCCTGCCGTGCCAGAGTTGATCTAACTGGGCTGCAGACAGCTGGTGGAGTATGTGATCGAACCCTGCCGCCTCTGGCTGCTCTGGGCTCTCCTGGGACTCAACAGCGTCCTCCTCACCTCCACCCCCGTCCGAACCTCCGAAATCCTCCTCCTCCAGACCGTCTGGGCAAAGATATTCGAGCGTCGGCGGGCTCTTGAAGGAAATATTTTTCCTTGGCTGCCTCTGCTGCGCTGGGGTCTCGTGACTCCCTTCGCCCTTCTTCTGTGATGCTGCTGCCGCTCGCCTCGAACGCTTGCTGTCTGGATTCTTACTCCGCTTCATTGGCGGCGGTTGCTGGAACGGTCTAGGCAAGCTCAGAACTCTGCGCAATGCCTCTGTCATGCATAATCCCAGGCGGACTATTTGTCCGTAGTGGCTCTTCCCTGCTCCCGCGATGGGCTCAGTTTCTGCCACAACCTCACTTATGAGGTGCTTCGCTGACGTTGAACATACTAAACAATCCAGCATGCGACAAGGCGAGACTGCGCACGTAAATTCTACATTGCTGGCTACTCTGATGTCTCCTGCTACCAAATGAGGCCATCCGCTTACCTGGAGTTCCTCTGGCTCACAGTTCCAGTCTCCAATGACTAGCCGCGGCGTGCGAAGGGACTGCACCAGCGAGCCTAGGCTGGCGAGCTTGCGGGCGTTCTCGCCTCTCAAGCCCACCCCTGTGGCAAGATATATTCCGAAGATGCTGAACGCCTGTCCTGGAACTTTCGTCTGGAAACCTACAGAATCGTGAAAATCCACTCCGCTGGTGACTGGCTGTTGTCCCTTCTGGAGGTCGCGCATGCCCAGTGTGGCATTGGGCTCACTTGAGAGATGGCGAAATGATTCAAACTGAAAAACCTTTCTGCGGCCTGCGGAGACTCCGCCTGGCCTTAAACTATTATCCGATGCTCGGCTCGGAGTCAGCACTGGCTTATAACCTGCTCTCGCCCAAACCTCAAGATGCTCATCTGCCTCCTCTGGGCGCGTGTGTACCTCTGGCAAGACGTAGAAATCATACTCACGTTTCTGCAGGAGGTGCTTGGCAGTGGGTCCGAACCTGGACAGGTTCCTCATGTACAGCGTGTAGTCCCTGCACTGGGTTTCGCTGCCGTCAAAGTGACTGCTGGACTCTCTGCCGTACCCTCTGGATCTCCGCGTCAACCTCCTGCTGCAGGGCCTCCTTCTTGTCGGCGACCACTGGAGCGCTCTCGTCCCCAGCAGCTCTAGGCGGCTCGACACCGCCTGGGGCACCGCCTGGCCCTCCCGCTCCGACAGGCTGCTGGTTGCCTGGAGCGGGGGCCTGGCTGCCCACATGCTGCTGAGGAAGGTCACGAGGAGGCACAAAAACACCTGCACTGGGCTGCTCCTCGGTCTTCCTCTTCTTTGTGCCGCGCGCGGCCACCTCGGCCATCTCCTTCTGGATGTTCTCCAGGTCGGCGGTGAGTCCCCCCATCGCTTCCCTGATCGCCTTCTGGAGCAGAGTGTTGACGGCCCCAGACCTCTCCTCCACGATCTTGCGATCTGCCTCCTGGAGCTCCAACCCGTCGAGCAACTTGCCGAACGAAAACTGCAGCTTGATGCCGTCTCTGATGGCCGTGCCCACGTCGATGACTGGGCTCTGCTCATCGTCTTCCCTGTCGGGCAGGACGCGGCGGGCCGCCTCCACCTCATCCTGCTCCGCTGCCACCAGCTCCTCTGTGGCCCTCTCCAGCGCCATCTGCGCCTCATGGTACTCGTCCTTCGTGCGGATCCAGCGCTGGCGGGCCTTCTCCAGCGCCTTCGTAGCTTTGCCCACTCGTGAGTTGGCCCGCTGCAAGAGTGCCGCTGGGCGCTCTGGTGGCGGGGATGGCTGCTTCGGCGCCAGCAGTTGCAGCAGCTCCTCCGCCTTGCGGCTCGTGTTTGGATCCTTGTCTTCGCCAGCCATGGCTCGGAGCGCCACCTCGAGGTACGATGCCTGCGGGCGTCCCGACGCTCCTCCTGCACCGCTGCCCTGCTGGTGGTGGCGCCCTGTCCCCCAGGTGCTCTGGCTACCCAGCCACGCCCCGCACAGGCAGGTGCTGTTGGCCGCATGCAGCCTGTCCACGAACAGGTAGCGGGGGCACTGCGAGCAGAACACCTTCTTCCTGAAAGGCTGGCGTCGGCCCCACGGGCTCGCGAGCCTCCATGGAGCCGTGTGCTGCTGCTGCACCCACGGCTGGCGACGATACTGCTCATCTGCCATGGCTCGCGGGCGCCGTGTATGTGATGATGCCAAAAAGAAGTCGTGATCGCTGGCTCAAAGAGCTCGCGCCTCAAAGTCCTCACCTGGCCTGGCCGTGAGGTGTCACTGTTGGGGGCCGCTAACTTCCCCCACGCCAGTCTGGTCAGGTCCTGAGCCCAATGACTCCGGACTTGAGCCAAAATGGCTACGGAGGGGCCCAGCAGTGAGGGCCCCGTCGGGTGGAAGAATGTGACAAGCCTCCCGTGCCAGACATCTGGCCGCCCCAATTTTTTCGATGCGTGGGCCCCGACGGTCTGGGCCACTTCCCCAAGGAAAGCTTTTCGCCCTGGCTCGTTTTTGGACGGCCCCGAGGCCTGGGGAGGGCCCACGGGGGCCGAACAGTGCCATAAAAACCGCCCGCTCCAAAAACTGTTTGGCGCGCAGGATCTCTGAAGTCCTGATTTTCACACGACGCGGGCATGTCTGGGATCACACCGGCGGGTCATGCGCCCATTCTCCACCGCCACTGCCAGAAGTAGGACGGGGGAGAAGGGAGGACGGGAAGGTCCTCCTCCTCCTCCTCCTCCTCCTCCTCCTCCTCCTCCTCCTGGTCCTGGTCCTGGTCCTGGTCCTGGTCCTGGTCCTGGTCCTGGTCCTGGTCCTGGTCCTCCTCCTCCTCCTCCTCCTCCTCCTCCTCCTCCTCCTCCTCCTCCTCCCTCTAGCTACACATGACAGTGGTGGTGGAGCATCGGCCCGTCAGGCGACCGCCGGGAGAGGGCCGGCGTCCTGCGTCAGGGCGGCCTGGGGCGCCGCGCCGTGGCGCGAGGCGGTGCCGTGCCGCCGCCGCGCCGGGACACTGCGGGCGAG